AGAAAGGAAAACTTGAAATTGCATCATATGACCCCTTTAAAGGAACGAGGCACATCAGAAATGTTTTTGTTGGGTTGAAGATAAATCAAATTTTACTTAAATGATGCTAAAATGTACAATTTTCTTTAGGCCCCACCTGCTAAAGAGTCTGTAGGGGGTGTAAAGTACATTCTGAGACTCTCGGATTGGCCTTGTAACAAAACCAAGAGAAAGAAACAAAAAACTATGAATCAAACCTATAATGCATCAATAACATATTCAGAGGCCAGGATTTCCATTATTGCAGTTAACAAGGTTGGACATTCACCACGACAGCAGCTCATCATTCCCGCTGTGAAACATCTGAACTGTAAGTGTTAGCGTGGGTTTTTAGGTACAGTATGTGTGTCAGAGTGTGTGCGCTTACAGCAGGATGCAAGTGTAAGCTGTGGGGTTTTTGGTGACTGAGAGTCTTTCAGTGTTGCTAAAAATTGCTCATTCAAAATATGCCACTTAAGTTTTTTTTTATTTGAAAAACTGAGAAAAAACACCTTGAGAGGAAACAGTAAAGTGGAAACTCATGTGAAATTTTGACATTTCAGACTGCGACTCTGACATGCCCTCAAATATCACCAAGGCTGATAATAATACCTGCTTAGAATGGTACAAGCTGGAAGACGGTGAGACCCGACCAAGGACCGTATATAGCTCAGACAAAAAATTGCTCAAGGACATAAAAAATGGTATATTCATCCATTCATCCAATTTAAAGCATTATATTTATGTGTCATATTAGCTAACTCCTGTCTCTGGTTTTACTTACAGAGGTGGAGCATTTTGTACGTCATTATTACTTTCTTCACACCATAAGAAATAAACAGTTTCAAACTGCCGTTATGTGTCCTTTTTACTCAAAACAGAAAGGTAAGTTCAGACTGATGTGCCAGTAAATTTGGTTAATTATTTTCATGTGATAGCCAATAAATGGCCGATGTTAAAATAAATGGCTGAAATAAAAATATTATTTTGTTTAAAAATGTAAAAATAAAACACTAAAATCTAAAATGAAGCAGAAAATGCTTCAAGTAAATCATTATAATGTACAGTATGAAAAATGTATATATTTGAACATAGACGTGAAGATGCACTATCCCAACTTAAGTGGTTGTAGTTCATGAATGCTTTGGAACTAATGTTAGTCTCTTAAAGTAAAATCAAAGCTATAAGTCTAACTATGTTATGTTCCAAATTTGAAATTGATATCACAAAAATGGAGGTTCCTGTGTTAAGGCGCTATACCAAAAATAGCCAAAACCAAAAATAATAAAACTAATTTTTCATGCACAAATTTCTACATTTCTGTCACAAAATATGGAACCTTGAGACTCAGATATGTCGGAAAGATTAGAAAAAGTTTCGATTATAAAACATTGCAGTCAATTTTGTAATATGACACTTGACACCACCCACTAGGGAGAGGAGCCCACTAAAAGGTTTTAAAGTACCATTTCCATGGTAATGCAATGTCCGATTTCGAAAGTTTTCACCAGATGAATTTCGAGTGTTTAAGCTTTTGAATTTAGGATGATTAATAAAATATGTGAAAGGCAATAATAAAAGAGCGCCACAGGTTAGAGATGAACTTTTAATGTTTTTTTAATGACGAATAAATGTCAAAATAATGAAATATCCAATATTGTCTGATATTGATCAATTAAAAATATAACTGATATGGTACCATGAGGTGCATCCCTTGTTTAGACTATTTAGAGTAGAGTAGGTAATGAAGACCTCAGTATAGATATAGTCCATGATGATTTCTAATTTTCACAACGGAACATTTGCATTTTTTTCAGCACCTGTTAATGGTCCAGCCAATGCGAATGTTTCTGATGTCACACATGAATCAGCTGTGGTAAGCTGGCTTTCTATTCCTGTGGCGGAGCAGCAAGGATTTCTACAGCATTATGTCATTTGGATATCTGGACAGGGAAACACAAGTAAGCTGAAAGTTTATAGTATTACTAATCATTTATTTGCTATGTGGAAGTCACAGCCGTAGATAGTTTTTTACATGACAAACAGTCTAACCCATTACAAACATATCAATGTTTTGCTTTCTGTTCCTCTTGCTTCAGAGTTCCATAAAGTCCCAGCAAATAAAACCAGCTTCCTGATCAAGGACCTCCACCCAGGGGCCTCTTACACTGTATCTATATCTGGAAGGACAGAAGCTGGTAATGGGCCGAACTCAACGGTGAATTTTGAAACACACTCCAAAGAAATGGGTACTGAAACACAGTCACTGCCAAATGAGAAATGATTATGCAGAACTGAAAGGTTTATTTGAACTGTCTGCTTTTTGTCAAAGAAACACAATGAGGTGTGAGAATGTACCTGCCAACAGCGAATGTGTTCTGCTATTTCATTCAGGTTTATCGTGGCAGGACCAAACCATCCTGATCGTCTGCGTGGTTGCCCTCTTGTGTACTATAATCTGCTCCGTAGCTGCCAGGAGGTGAGATTGCCATAACCCAGAACAGCTGATTGAAGGCCAAGATG